GGTGTTTGCCTTTTAAAACAAAGAGGGGAAGTGGGGCAGGGGTGATGGTGCGCTCACCCACGCCTTCTTGCAGGGCTGTGGCCATGTCGGTGTCGCACAGCTCCAGGCTGAACAAGCTGGTGCGGGAGCAGTACATGAGGCTGCCCCAGGATGGGCTGGTACAGGTCACCTACGTCTGGATCGACGGCAGCGGCGAGGGCGTGCGCTGCAAGAGCAGGACCCTCGACAAGGAGCCCAAGAGCATCGAAGGTAACGCCGCTGCGCATCCCCCCGGACGATGCGTCGCACGGTGGAGGGCCCCGAGCATTGCTTGGGGAAAAGTTTTGGGGTGTTTTCGAGCTGGCCCTTGCTCTCCCTGGTTGCGTGGCACTGGCAGTACCCACTGCAGTTGTTTGATGAGGTTATATCAAGCAGCAGAGTAAATATCCGGCCTGCGTCGCTGCGGTTTGCTTAATCCGTAATCTCTGTCATTAGCACTGGGTGGGAAGGGAAGGACTAGCTCCTCGCCCCTTTCCACCGGGCAAACAGGAGACGTGTTGGCATCTGGATGGGGTTTGGCAAAGGGAGGTGATGTGGCTGGGGCTGATCCAGCCTGTGCCCCCCAGTGCTGGAGGAGGGTGAGCGCACTGATGCTCAGAGAGCACTGCTGGGCTCCGGGGATGTGCCAGAAGACCTTTGCGGCAGTCGTCCCCTGGCACTCGGTGCCCTCTGGGCTCTCCATCCCAGGGTCTAAGCAGTTGGAATGATCCATGTGAGAGAAACAGTTTCCCAATCCCAGTCCCCCCTCTGTCCCCATCTGCCTCGCAGACGTCCCCGAGTGGAATTTTGACGGCTCCAGCACGGCGCAGGCGGAGGGCTCCAACAGCGACATGTTCCTGGTGCCCGTCTGCATGTTCAGGGACCCTTTTTGCCTGGACCCCAACAAGCTGGTGCTCTGCGAAGTGCTGAAGTACAACAGGAAACCCGCAGGTGAGCACCTCCAGCGTGCACCCCCGGCTCCTGAGGGTCACCCCCTCAGTTAGGGTGCCGTCTCTCCAAGGGGCTGCTTGCTCTGGACTGCTGGCACCAGGGAGCAGCTCAGCACCGCGCACTTGGCCCGGGGCTCTGAAATTCAAGCACCGGTGGTGGTTGTTTACAAGAACCTGTTTTAGCTGTGCAGGGCGAGAAGAGCAGCAAGACGTGGAGCTTGTGGCGCTCGCTAACTCGAGTGTGCTAAAGGCGTCACCCGGCCCTTGCGCCCAAGCACACCCAGTCCCCAGGGCTGTGGGGTTACAGTGGGGGAGCTGGAGGCAGCAGAGGTTTTACTGCACCAGTTCATGGCTGCTGTCCTTGTTGATGGGCAGCTACAGAAAAGAAGGAAGAAGGTGCTGAGCTGGTTCAGGGTGACCTTTTGCAAGTGGCCCTGGAGCATGCTGGTGGTCGGTCTTATCGCTGCAGGCAGAAGTCTGCAGTCCCAGTGCCTGTCATGTCCGTCTGATTAAGCCCCAGACGGAGGAGAGGGAGCTGGTTTGCAGGGCCATGCTGGGGTGCTCGCAGGGGGGTTATTTGCTGGCAGATAACTGGTTATTTGCCAGTGGAGCGAGGCTGTGGCCTGGCTGGGTGCAGGGGAAGGAGACAGCTTTTGCGCGGTGATGCACGGGAGAGGAGAGGCTGTGGGCAGCGATGGTGAAAGACTGAGCTGGTTCCTCTTCAAACAGCGTCATGCCTTTCAGCCGCGGGGGAAGCATCTTGGTTGGGATTCCTGCCTGGCAGCTCCTCTGCCGGAGCAGTTTGTAATGATCCCCTGGCCCTGGAGCTAGGGCTGAGCTCAGCCCAGAGCCCCTCCAGCTCTTTCAAGGCTGTGTTCTGTGGAGGTTAAGGGCTATGTGAGCTCTGAGGTGGGAGGAATTGCCTTCCCCTCCTTCTCCCATTAGTACAGGGGAGATGTCACTGCTCTTCTCCAGTCCCAGACCCTGGGCTTGATATTATAGCGCTCTAGGGCCTTTTATTGCAATTTAAAGGCAGAAATTGCTGCCTGTCCTTGTGACAACAGTTTTTCAGCCCTGTTTCCATCCAAACTCTTGCACCCCTTGCCAGGCATGTTGTCCCATGTCAGGATGGGTCTCTGATACCTGTAGCTCCATGGCAAAGCCCTGGTTGCCCTGAGCACCCCTCGCACCATGAAGGGCCAAGCCAGGTCCAGCAAGCCTGGATGCTAATCAAAACCATGGAGCAGGACACAGATAAGGATAGTTAAACTGAGGCTGGCAAAAAGAGGATGGGGGTGAAGTAGTGATGGGAGATGTATAGTCCCTGTTCCCAGATCTGCCGGATGCCTGTAGGGCAGGGCTGGGGTATGGTTCCTGGCATCTCAGTGTGTGAGAGGAGGAGGATGTTCATGGACCACTGCTGGTGGTTCTGGGAGTAGGTCAATAAAACCATTTGGCCTGTAGCCTGATGCTGTGGCAATGGAGGAGCTCTGCGAGGAGGAAACCCGTGAGAAGAGAGCGTTGCAGGAAGGGGGAGTGCACTCACCAGTTTTCTTAAGGCTCTGTGGGAAGCGCTTGGCAGTGGTGGAGTCTCAACCTCTGAGTGGGATGGAGTGGAGCATGGTGGGTGCCTTCCCATGGCGCGGGTGTAACCTGAACCTCTCTACTCCCAGAGACCAACCTGAGACACACGTGCAAGAAAGTCATGGACTTGGTTAAGGAGAGCCACCCCTGGTTTGGGATGGAGCAGGAGTACACGCTGCTGGGCATCAACGGCCACCCGTACGGCTGGCCTGACAACGGCTTCCCCGGTCCACAGGGTAAGAGCTCACTCCCTCCCCCAACCCAAATACTCCTCTCTGCTCCCACCCTGCTGATGCCCATCACCAGGCATCCCGGCCCCAACCCTGGACACAGCTTTCCCACTGTGGCTGACTGTGAGCTGGAATAAGGTCAGGAGCTGTTTGCTGAGAGTGCCGTCTGCCTCGTGGCTCACCTGAGCCGGCCGGCAGTGCTGCTTCTGCCGGACCCTGGTTGCACAAACAGCTCAAGCTGCACAACTTGTTTGGCAAGGGCTGGAGAACCTGGCTGGGAAAATGTCCTCCTGTGGCTGTCTGGGAAAGGACCAGCAGTCCTGCCCTCCTGCAGCAAGCCCCAGCACCTCAGCTGCCTCCTGGGAGGACGGCCAGGGGTTTCCCAACCTGACTTAATCAGCCTTTCGTGTGGACTGGCCACTTTCAACATCTCCCTTCCCCCAGGCAGGAAGATCTTCATCTGACCTGCTTGAATGAGGAAGAGCTGTACAAAGCCACAGCGAGTTGAATTTTCTAGGCATGAACAATGTCAGCTGTTGTCAGAACAATCTCGGCTGCTTGACGTGCTCTGAGGGTCAGCGAGGTGCTGTGGGGCAGGCCAAGCCAAGCTTTCCTTATCTCCTGGCCACCTCCCAGTTGATGCATGACAAGTCCTGTTTAACAGCCCAGATAAGGCTGCACAGATGAGTTGCTCACACCACTGGTCCTGGAGTAGGGGTTGGTGGCTCGATGCACCATGGAGACAGCACCATTTAATTCCCATAAATCCCATCGAGCACCAGCACCATTTAATTCCCATAAATCCTCTGCATATGACTCTCTGGGAGTGATGGGATGATGCTGCTGTGCTGTTTTTGCTCCGAAAAGCTCTGCTTGGGTGGTGACTCCTTTTTGCTTTCCAGGCCCCTACTACTGCGGGGTTGGAGCAGATAAGGTGTACGGGCGTGATATCGTGGAGTCCCACTACAAGGCATGTCTCTACGCAGGAGTGAAGATCTGCGGCACCAATGCAGAGGTGATGCCCTCCCAGGTACGTGGGGATGGCCCCATGCAGCCCCTCGTTCCAGTGATGGATAGGAGTTATCATGAAGCTGGAATAACCCAGCACTCCCAGCTCCTCTGGGATGCCAAATCCAGTGACTCCCCACATAGGTTTTGTCTAGATGGGAGCAGTTGCACTGCTAGGGCGAAAATGTGCACGTTAAGTTTTCTTCTAACTCGCCCGGACATGCAAATCCCTGCCTTTTGGGGCAGGCAAGTGCAATGGCAACCGAGCCAAATGGCAGGCAAGATCCTTGCACAGCACAGCCTGTGTGGAGCCAGGTGCTCCCAGGAACTTTCCTTCCCCTGTGGAGCAGGGACGCAGGGTACGGCGTGAGCCAGGACACGTGGCAGGAGCAGCATGTGGAATGTTGGGTCTCTCCATCCTGCTCCCCTACCCCTGGAGCCAGGAAGCTCGGGAGGGACATGGCCTTGGGAAGCAGCTGGGGGGGATTCGGGTTTGTTCAGGAGTTAGCTAGAAGGCGTTCCTGATTGCATTAGGTGGGTGACCAGACTGACCGACGGTGACTTGGCCCTGCAGCTGCGAATCGCTGACTCTCCTGCTGCTGATGTGGCGGTGATAAGCAGGGGCCTTATCTGCAGTGTAGCTGAGGCAGGACTTTTAACAACCCTGCTGTTTGCCCTGACTTCTTCAGGGTCCTTCTTGGCTGCTTTCTGCATGCTGGGCTCGGTCTCGGCCAGGCCATGCCGGCAGCCGTAAATGCATCACCCCACGCTTAGTCACTGTGGGTGGCGCAACCTGGGCTCCGACCGGGGAGGGGTCGGCTCTGGGAAGGAAGGAAGGATAACAGGCTCTGGGTAAGTCCCAGGCCCTGTTTGCAGTGTGGGTTTGGGGATCCAGCATGCCAGCGGCTCCAGTACCAGCCTCAAAGGGAAGTGTGGTGCCTGTTTACCTCTGTTTTGATTAAAATGCCTCTGATTTTCCTCTATTTGATTATGATCAGGTTATTCCCATTTGTTTGCACACCAAAGCTGTCCTGTTGCTTAACTCCATGCTGCTCATCCTCACTGCTGACTCCCAGGCATAAAGCTCAGCTGTACCCCAGGGTGGTAGCCCTTGCCAGGGAGGCGGCAGGGGTGTGATGGCTGGGGAGGCACAAAGCTGTCCATTCTCACCGATGCATCTGTTCCCCTATTCCAGTGGGAATTCCAAGTGGGCCCATGCGAAGGCATTGAGATGGGGGATCACCTCTGGATGGCTCGATTCATCCTCCACCGTGTCTGTGAGGACTTCGGGGTTGTGGCTACTCTGGACCCCAAACCGATGACCGGCAACTGGAATGGTGCTGGGTGTCACACCAACTACAGCACCGAGGAGATGCGGAGAGAAGGGGGTCTTAAGTGAGTCCTGGGGGTTCCATGGGGGTACTCGGGAGGTTTGGGGTGTCCTTGGCCATGTGGCAGCTCCCCATAGCATGTGTGTCTCCATACCTGGGTGGCTGCATCAGGCAGGGCCAGGCTGTCCCAGCTCTTCTTATTTTAACTGCAGCTGGCCATATGGGAGTGTCCCCTGGGCTGTCCTTGTCCCTGCACAGGAGGGGGTGACCACTTTCCTGGCCATGGGAACACCCCCCAAATGGACTTACTGACAAGCCCAACCCCATTCCCTCCCACAGACACATTGAAGCAGCAATCGAGAAGCTGAGCAAGCGGCACGACTACCACATCTGCGTCTACGACCCGCGGGGTGGCAGGGACAACTCCCGGCGGCTCACCGGCCACCACGAGACATCCAACATCTTCGAGTTCTCCGCTGGTGTGGCCAACCGAGGTGCCAGCATCCGCATCCCGCGCCAGGTTGGCGCTACTTTGGGGATCGGCGGCCGGCAGCCAACTGCGACCCCTACGCGGTGACAGAGGCCATCATGAGGACGACAGTGCTCAACGAGACCGGGGTGGAGACCAAGGACTATGCTGACCACTGAGGCCGTGGGGTGGGTGAAGGTTTTTGTTTCTACACCCCCGGCTTCTCCTGTGGGATTTGTGCCCGTGTGGTGTCCTCGGCTGTAAGCTCAGACTCTTTAGGAACCTCGCTTCTGGTTTTGTGAAATGTCGCCTTAGAAATACATATATTTTATAGTAAGAGGGAAGGGCCCAACCTATTTTCTCAACCACTTTTTTTTTCTGGTTCCTGGTTTTAGGTTGTACGTGGATGGTTTTTAAAAAAAACGTGGATTGAATTTTTTCCGATGGACTTTACACTGTGATGTACATAGATCCCTACGTGGAAGCTGCAGCTTCTGCTATTTGCACCTGGGGAGGGCGGGTGCTTTTTTTCCCCCTATCTCTGTTGCAAGGAAATGAAAATAAACAATTTTCCTGGCTGCGTGGCAGCTGGGTTATGCTGTGGCGGGTGCATTTTTCTGTAGCTCCTAGAGCTCCATGGAGGATTTAATTTAGGTCCTGCTGATGGGTTGCAGTCACTGAGCAGCCTGCGTGTCTCCCCTCCCCATGCAGGGGCTGGAGGAGTGGAGATACTGGAGTATCCTTGGGGCAGGTGCCGGGAGCTGCCTTGCCCCGTTTCCTGGTGGCTGAAAGGCCATCTTCCCTCCATCGTGATCCCCCGAAAGGCAAACAGAGCCACACAGCCTGCGCAAACAGCAGCCGGGGCAGCAGCTGGCGCGCGTGTACACAGGGCATGCGCCGCTGAGTCAGCAAAGCGGCCGGGCACCGCGCACAGCAAGCAGCAGCCCTCCCTCCGAGGACACCTTTGGGTGAGGGTGGGGGGTCTGGGGACATCAAGGCACCCCAAGGGTGATGCCCTGCTGAAGCACAGAGACAGGGTGCAGCTCCTTGGGTTGGAGTCTCTTTATAAGGGAGGTCCAAAGGTTTTTACTTATGGAGTAAAACCCTCAGGTGGGGACACTTCCACGTAGATGGGGTGTCAACTGTGACTGCCAGACCCTTGGCGTCCCTCCATGCTGCAACTGTGGGGAGGAATGGGATGCAAGCACAGGGGACAGCACCGGGGTCCTGGGGACACCTTGAGCAGGGCAGGTCCCTGGGGCAGACGTGCAGGATGTGACCCAGCTGCAGTCACCAAGGGGAGGGTTACCCGGAGGTGAGTGGGACCAGCAGCGTGAACAGACAGGGGACATCATCTCCACTCCAGTGCACCCATGGGGACTTTGAAACTGGTTTTACCTTTATCTTTGAATCAAACACAGGTGACAAGGTGGAATGGAGGACCCCAAGTCCATCCTGCAGGTCTCGGTGCTGCTAGGGGAGCAGGAGTGAAAACGGTGGCAGCTGGGGAGGTGGCCATGTCCTGGACCACAAGGAGCCGGGAGCCCTTGGTGTCTCCGAGCTGGTCAAGAATAAATGTAACCCAGTCCACACCCTGAGGAGGAAAAGTTTTCCTTCCAGAAATTGCTGTATGGGGTGTTTAACGTTTTTCATCAAAACCACAAGGCTGTCTTGTTTTCTTCCCATTTCTATGATGTCTTTAATGGGCAATTTGAGCACTGGGACAGTGACTGCAGCTGGAAAATCAATGCAGAGCTAAATCTGGAGCAGGAAGACTCATGTTTGTTTCCCTGACTGTACCAGTGGCTTGAAGTACTTCAGCTTTCATCACACTGTGCTGTACAGCCCCTGCTAAATTTGGAGAATCGTGTAAATCCACATTGCCAACATGCAAACATCTCTGCCAGACACAGCACCGCAGCAGATCCAAACACTTTGTACCTGCTCTGGGTCTTCCCCTCTGGCAGGGACCCCTCCTCTTCATGGGGGGGGGACAGTGAGGCTCCAGGGAGACCCAGGGACTCAGCCAAAGCTCCAGCCAGGGCTTTTCTCTGAGCTGGGATCAGCCTTGGCCGCTGTTTGCTGGGGATGCTGCCCACTGGTCCCACCACAGCTGGAGCTGCTGCACGCTCGGACACTTCTGTGCTTTTACCTAAACACAGATCTTGCTTGTATGTCACAGTGGGCCAGAAACCGTATGTCAGGGATTTTTCCTAAAGCAGGAGTGATTCCCACCCGCGGGGCCTGAGCACAGGGGACATAAGGACACTGGCAATTTCTCACAAGAGCTTTTCCGACGATGCTGGCGTGCCTGCTCCCGTCGGATGTGGGATGCTGGTGTGCCTGCTCCCGTCGGAGGTGGGTTGTTGGGCTCGGCGGGCAGAGCAGGCGCTGGGGATGGAGCTTGAGGCCATGGGGGGGTACAGCATCCCCATCCAAGGGTTGGACAGTGCCGGGGGGAGATGCACCCAGCATCACCCAGTGCGGCTGGAAGCGGAGACGGGACCCCAGGTGGAATCCACGGCGGAATGGGCTGCTGCAGTCCGGGTGGTCGTTATCCAGGGCTTTCCCGAGGGAAGACCCCAAGGAGACTGTGCCGGGGGGAGGGGGTGATGCCCCGCGGGCCCTCGCTGGGGCTCCCGGCTGACCGGGG